CCCCATTGCTAGACTGCACAAAGCTTTTAACTGGGACTACATACTCTAGTCATTGTATGCTCGGCAACCTTCCTGCTTTCAGGAGAAATCAGTGGATGCAGATCAAGTGTGTACATACTGTACATAAACTGCAAGAAGACCTACAGTACATATAGGTGGGTCAGATATATCTTGTCTACAAAATCACAGGCAAAGAATTAAGGAATAATGTAGTACATACATGGGTTGAATTCCAAAACAAATTTTCTTCTGAAAATCGTAACTAAGAACTTTAGTTTGAATTTCGCACCAATATTGGGCCGCAGCATCGGCTGATTTTTATGCAGACATCGAACTTGAGTGATTGGGCATGTTGGAAATTTTTTTTTAAATTATCACATTTCTAATCCATGATGAGAGAATCGGGATAATCAAAAAAGAAATGAGCATGGGCTGTGACCTCGAAAGAAAAGAAGATTCACAGGCATGAAAATTCTTTTCTGTAGCAAAATGGGGTGAAATCGAAGGCTTGGTTGGTTGAATTTTGAAATCAATGGTGGCACCATTGGATTACAAAACACACAAAATTTCCAATTTTCTAAAGACAATTTGTTCAGAATTCAACCCATGTATGGCCTGTGCTTCCAGCACACCTGGTTATAAACAACCAGAGTACATTTCACAGTTGGCAGCTTGCTGCACTCAAGCATTGCCAAGATGAATAACAAAATCTATTGCATGAAAACATATCCAAATGTAATTGAAGTTTAGATTTAAGTGCAGCCACTGTTCTATTTGATCAACTTTGCTTAAAGGGCTAAAAGCATTAAAAAATAAGAATCCATTATAAAAGTTAATCATTTATTCACCTATGCTACTTGCCTAATAAATAATAAACATAGGGTGGAATGGAAAACCTGAATTTTACATTCATTAATTGCTGATTGGTTGTGAATCTGATTTGAAAAGACAGTTAGAATGTTGAATTGGAGAGTCAGAGTTGCTTTCCATGTCCTTCATTTTTTTTCTTTTTTTCCACATTCAGATTCCTTAAAAATGCTAAAATGATCTCATTTATTAATGTGTGTGCAAAACAAAATAATATTGCTATCCTTGGAAAATAGATTCTGTCTGGGTGCTTAATTGGTTGGGAAATGAAAGCTAATACAAAGCTACTGTACGTACATTAACATTAAATAGTGGCAGCAATGGAGTTTCCATTTGGCCGAACTGTTTTTCTGCCACCATTATTATTTTTATACAGGATTTATATAACACCAACACTTTGCACAGAACCTTACAGAATAAATTGAAACAGTACAGTAACAGTACAAGGAAATATTATAACCTCAATTATGAAAAGATTGAGTTTCAGGAAGTGGTATGGCACCCATACTGATATGTCAATTAGAAAATTAGTGAAGCCCAAAGAGTAGGGATAAGTGTGGGCAGGGCTGGGACAAAGAGTTGACAGAAGGGGCGGCTGCCCTGGGTACTGTGGAATCATATGAGGTGGGGGGTGCTACGAGGAGATTGGGTGGAGGGGATTTGTATTTGGAGGTGGATTTTCGGGCACAGCAGGAGGTAAGAATTGTTCTAGGAGGAAACATTTGGGATGAGGGTGATCTAGGAGTGGTTATTTGGCGAGATTTGTGTTGAGAGGGGAGATAAGGGAAGAGGAATTGTCCTAGGAGGGGGAATTTGTGGGTAGCACTAGAGGAGGTTATATGGAGGGGGGAGGGGATTTGTGCTAGGAAGGTAATTTTTTTTGGTGGGGAGAATTTGTGCTAGGAAGGGGAATGTGGGGATTTGTGCTGGGAGGAGACTTTGGAGTGGGGAGGAAAGGATTTGTGCTCTGAGGGAAAATGTGAGCGGTAGAGGATTTGTGCTAGGAGGGGTGATTTTTTTTTTGGGGGGGGGGATTTTTGCTGGGGGAGATTCGGGGAGAGAGAGGATTTGAACTGGGGAGGAGATGGGGAAGCAAATATTTCTGCTGGGAGGGGCATTTCTGCAGGGGGGGGGGGGGTTGCACTGGGAGAAGGGAGAATTTATGCTTAGGTGTAAGCATGCAGATTAATGCTCAGTTTTTTCTTGGGGGGGTGGATATTTGAGGACACATAAGGCTCATACTGTACATCTTGGGGGGGGGGGGGGGGACAATTTGGCATGTTCACCCTGGGCGCTAAGTGACCTGGTCCCGGCACTGAATGTGGGTTTAATCAGAACAGAGATGTTATTGTAAGCCTTAGGGAGGCTATATACTCACCCAGGGAGGATGTATAGATAGAGATTAAAAGAAGTCCTGGAACATAACCTTGGGGAACCCCTACAGGAAAAGGAAGAGGAAAGGAGTTGTAGGCAGGGGCTGACTGACCATTTGGAAACTCGGGCACTGTCCGAGGGCCCGGGTCAGTAGGGGGCCCCATGAGATGCCCCTGGTACCTTTTTCATAGGCTTTTTTGAGTTTGGGCAAGGACACATGGGCCCCATGATCCCCTATAGCCCGGAGTCTCAAGCACTGGGGCTAAATGCTCAGTGTGCATGAGGCCTAAACTTGATCTCACAAAACCCACTCCTATCATCCTCATCACAAATACACCAACTCAAGATGTACTGTAGGTGTACCAACATCCATTTACATCCATTTACATCCTCTGCTTTACTTTGCTGCCCTACTGTCTTATTATATATTATTATATAGAGAGTAATTGCCAAAATTTGCACTCTAGAATGTCTACAGTGTCTCTAGAAACGGCTCACTGTTCTCGATGCTAGATGAAAGCAGATGGGTAAACAAAGCACACAGGAGGACTTGTGCAGTCCAAAGTCACATGACAAGTTGCACTCCATGTTTCCCAATGAATGCCATTCGTATCTGTGCGACTTCAAGTTGCAGAGACTTAAAAGTAGTTCCTGCACTACTTTCGTCCGACTTTCATGGAACTTGAGGGCCATAGACTTCAATGTAAACCCTCCAAAGTCGGCTGAAAGTCTCACATGAATGATATACATGCGACATGGTTGTGACCTGGGTGCAACTTAGTAGAAAACAATTATCCTTGATCAAAGCCAAAGTCACACTCATCCAAAATCGCATCAATTCACAATGTAAAGTCACAATGGAAGTTGCACAAGTGTGAATGGAGCCTGAGTTCTCGTACACACTTGACGTTTTTACAGCTGATGTTTTTGGCTTTTGACGTTTCTTTCTACAGCCAGTAACCCCCCCAGCATGTTATTCTATGTGTCCATGCACACATACACTGTAATCAATGTTTTTTGACAGGGTGTTTTTTGGCTGGAAACAAAACCCAGGACTATGTATTTATTGAAATATATTTTGAAATATATTGAATATGGCTAAAATTGTAGCATTTCAAATATATGGCAATATATTTGGGAAGAATATTTTTAAATATATTTCAAATATATTTTTCTTCCATATGGGCATATTGGTTTGTCTCTTGGGCCTGATCATTTAGCTGCCTGGAGTCACGAAGCCAGTAAATACCTCATCTTATATATGATATTTGGTCCTCATGCTCACTTTTACAGTGCCTCTTTTTGGCTTTTGCCATTTTTTTCTACAGCTAGTAAACCCCCCAGCATGTTATCCTATGTGTCCATGCACACATAGACTGTAGTCAATGTTTTTTGGCTTCAACATTCTTTGGCTGGAAACAAAACCCAGGACTAGTGTGTTTCTAGAGGAGTTTTTTTTTAGCTGTAAAGACGCTATAATGCTGAAAATGTGGCAAAACGAGGTAAAAAATGGCGTTTTTGGACTTTTTTGACAAAAAAATATTTTTTTTCCAAAAAAAAAACGCTAAAAAATGCAACCGTGGCAAAACGCTGCTAAACGTTAATGCAAAACCACCAAAAAAAGCTGAAAAACTCACGTTTTTAGCATGACTTTACACAGCTAACGCTACCAGCGTTATCAAAACGTCTCGTGTGCATGAGGGCTTAAAGGTGAACTCCAGCCTTCCCTTCAGTCTTGTACAGTTGTATACACTCCTCTCCTGTACTGAAATTGCTTACTCTAAGTGCACCACACACTGAGATTCTCATAGTGTGTATTAGAAGCTGCAGTAATTCAGACAGATCACACCAGCATCATTTAACCCTTTCCTTCACAGCCTCACTGTTCCTGGTCCACCCCTTTCATTCATTGAATTTCAGTTTCAACTTTTAATTATGGAGGCTCAGCATAACATGTTGGCGTTACCTAGGACAGTCTGCCCAGGAACTCCCACTGCTCCAATCTGGCATCCATCCATCAAAGCATTTTGATATTTGCATAACTCTCCAAGGGCTAGCTCACTGCTTCCATCAGGACAAGGGCTCTTGAGAGGAGGTAGGGTGTTGTGATGTTTTCAGGAAGCTATGTACAGAAACCTACGGGTCGCTCCCACCCGCCATATGAGGTTGCCACCTCATCCATTTAAAACCAAACATATATTGATTACACAGGTTCTATGGATGATTAACCATTTGACTTTCACCCCCTTCCTGCCCAGGCCAATTTTCAGCTTTCAGTGCTGTTTCACTTTGAATGACAATTGCGCGGTAATGCGACACTGTACTCATATGACATTTTTATCATTTTTTAGACAGATAGAGCTTTCTTTTGGTGGTATTTAATCACCTCTGTTTTTTTTTAATTTTTTGCTAAAGAAACCAATAACAACTGAAAAAAAAAATTTTTTTTTCTTAGTTTCTGTTATAAAGTTGTGTAAATAAGTAATTTTTCTCCTTCACTGATGTGCACTAATGAGACTGCACTGATGGGCACTGATAGGCAGCACTGATGGGCACTGATGAGGAGGCACTGGTAGGTGGCACTGATGGGCATTGACAGGCATTACTGATGGACACTGAAAAGCCAAACTCATGTATGTCAATCATAGGTGGCACTGATAGGTAGCACTGATAGGCAGTACTGACTGGCACTGATAGGCGGAACTGACTGGCACTGTTAGGCAGCACTGACTGGAACTGTTAGGCGGCACTGACAGGCACTGATATGAGGCACTGATGGACACTGATAGGCAGCACTGACTGGCACTGATAGGTAGCACTGATTGGCAGCACTGATAGGAGGCACTGCACTGATAGTTGGCACTGAAAGACAGGTCAGATGGGCACTGATATGTGGCATTGATGTGCACTGGTAGGCACTGATATGTGGCATTGATGTGGCACTGATGGGCACTGGCAGGTGGCATTGATAGACACTGACAGGTGGCATTGATGGGGGCTACACTGATCATCAGGGCACTGAGCATCAGCGCGTGAGGAGCTGATCTGATCATCAGTGCGTGACAGCTCGTGAGAAGAGGAATGCCAATAACCGGCATTTCCTTATTTACATACGATCAGCTGTGATTGGACACAGCTGATCACATGATAGAGCCAACATCATCGGCTCTTTCCGCTCATTGGTGACCCAGGGACACAGCACACCACCGATCAAAGCGCTGCGTGCCCCCGGGGGCTGCGCATGCGCGGCTAGAGTAGGTGGACGCCATATGACGTCCTCCCAGAACGAGAGAACCGCAGCTCATCCGTCATTTCCTTATATGGCTGGCGGGAGGCGGTTAAGGTGGCATTTAAACTCACTTAGTGCCTTATCTGCATTAAATTGGCTTTAGAATCTGTGCAATTAATATGTGTTCAGTACTAAAGGGATGAGGTGGCAACCCTACCGCCATGATCTGCCTGCATTGCATGGAGAAGCACAAACAAGGCATAAACTATAATGAAATAAAAGGTTTTATTTAAAACAAGCAATTAGCGTGTCCATGAGAGAGAGAGAGAGAGAGAGAGAGAGAGAGAGAGAGAGAGAGAGAGAGAGAGAGAGAGAGAGAGAGAGAGAGAGAGAGAGAGGAACAAGGGAAGGCAAAATATAAGCAGGAAAGGAAAGAAATGGGATTTAGAAAAGTCTAACTGTTACATATTCCACTTCCGTTTTCATTTGTCTCCCTGAGTGTCAGAAGTTTCTAACACTGCACAGGTAACAACATCTTCAGGGCAATGGGACTTGAATGAGTTCAGATGGGGACACTCATCTAACCCATTGCCAATGAAGATTGCTATATTTTAGCAAAGTGAATTTGATGGCTGATTACTAAAGGAAACCCGTAGGCTGCCTTTGATGTCTTCTCTTTCTAAATATTCTCGTTCAGTGTCATAGTGATCCAGTATTTTCAGTGCTCAGCTTTCTCAGTTATTGACTTTAAAGTGTTACTAAACCCAGGACCCTGCATTCACTGTATCTGGTCTCCCACAGTACACAAAACATGGAAATGCAATTATTTTAGTAAATATAAACTGTTTAATACCTTTTTTCATCAGCAGTATATTGCAGACTTGTGACTTCTACCAGTGTCCAGTACAGCCCTGGCTTGTAGGAGTTTTCATTCTCCCCTGACTGTCCTATGAGGCTGCAGGATCACATGCACCCTCCCAAGAAAAAAAAACTCTCTAGCAATATGCACCAAACTGAGCATGTATAGCTTGCCCCAAAGGCTCTACTATCAGCAGATGGATTGGGGACAGTGAAGAAGGGGAGGATCAGAGAAGACAGAATCAAACATCCTTTTTACACAATTCAGAGCATAACCCCTTAGGTTCCACAGTGAGTATAACAAGCATGCTTTAATGCATACACAGACTGATTTTACTGTTGTGGGTTTAGTAACATTTTAAACAAGTATAGAGACCAGGAACATTGGGTGCACTTTGCTTTCTGCATACCTGTTCCAGGCCAAGGATGCAGAAAGTTTTCAATCCAGAAACAGGTGATTAGCATGTTCAGAAGGAAACCAGCACTGTTGGATTGCATGATTCTCCAACTACAAGATTCATTTAACGACTGCTGACCTGTGATGTTGATTTGAGGGCTTATAAAAGAAGCTTCTTTAACACAATTTACCAGAACACTTTAATTTACGCCATGCCGTCAAATGGGCTTTATGATATTGCTTTGTCCTTGTCAGCACAAAATGTTTTCTGCTTTTCTATATGACACAGAAATCAACATCAACATTATCATCGATGAAAAGAAGATTAGCTGTCAAGCCATAATTGTTTCCTTCATTTAGAACAAAGAGGAGCAAAGTAACAATGCACATTTTCCTTCCACCCACATGTATTTTGCACTTTACTGTGATATCAAGGTGCACGTCTGCTGAGTGTGCTCTGCTTTCTATTCACTCCTGGAAAAAAAAATGAAATAAAGAGCAATTCTTTTCATTAATATATTTCATAACTGTAACAAATATATACAGAAGCAGAAACAAGTGTGCTTATTCGTTAAATGGGGTGGAATACAGAAGTCCCAGTGGTACAAAAACCTTCCGTCTTATATTATATTATATGACAATACTGTAATGATTGGTGCTATGGGATATATAACATAGAGCACAAGGTTCAGGGGAGAGTATGTAAGGTAAAGCACAGTGTTCAGAGGGGGGCATGTAGGCAACCTTTAAGAGGTACAGATCTACCTGAACAAAATGGGAGAAATCAAAGATCACTGGGCACAGTGCTGCCTAGTGGCACCTCCTCACACCTTATTTAAACCTTTAATTGGCGTACTACCTTGTCGCAATCACGTGCATTGCACAGCAATCATGGGTTTAAGTCAGGTGGTGAGGAGGCAACATATTGCATCATCACCACCTTTCAAACACACTTGGATTGCTTTTCAGAGGAGCAGCAACGTCACCCTTAGGGCTCGTTCAGACACAAAGTTGGGGGGGGTGAAACAACCCTGAGGTTGAGTCGCGGTTTTAGCCCCGAATCCCTACCCCCTTTAGCTGGTGAGGCAGCAGCCAAAGGTGTACACATGCCACACCAGGAATTAAACCCCTTGTTGCTTTTGGTGGGTGCTGCTGCCTGCCAATTGTGACTCATTCAAGTAATTGGGGACACTTTTCAAGCACCCCACAACTGCATGAAATGCTGCTTGCTTTAATTCCTTGTTTGCTGTACTGCACAAGGTTGCAGGGCACTTGCAGAGCGGCCTTAGTTACTTGAATTGATTATGCTTGGCAGGTGCTACACCCATCAACCAGCTACAACATGTGTACACCCCTGGCCACTTCAACTAAAGGGGCTGCGGTTGGGGAGGGGGTGGTAAAAGCACACATCTTAACTATGAGGTTTTACCACCCCCAAACTGCAAATGTAAATAAGTCCTTAGAGTTCTGAGTTCCCACAAGGCAAACAAGGCATTTGCCTAGGGCAGCATTTTTTCGGGGGGGGGGCAGCACTTCTCCTTGGAAGAGGGGACGGAAGAAGGGACACACACGGCATGGGGACCTGGTGGTTTCCAAGAGAGACTGCAGGTTTCACAACGGTGTATGCACTACCCCATTCTTGTTCCCAGGGATAGCCGGAGCTGTGAAAGTGAGTGTCTTTCTCTCTCTCGCCGTTGCGGATGGTGGCTGGTGTATGGGGGGCAGTGGTAGTGGAAGGCTCTCTTGGGGGGGCAGGGGTGTTGTTGGTTAATGTCACGCTATCTCTGCGAGCATTTTTCAGGGGGGAGGCAGCACTTACCCTCGGAAGAGGGAACGGAAGAAGGGACACACACGGCATGGGGACCTGGTGGTTTCCGAGAGAGACTGCAGGTTTCACAACGGTGTATGCACTACCCCATTCTTGTTCCCAGGGATAGCCGGAGCTGTGAAAGTGAGTGTCTTTCTCTCTCTCGCCGTTGCAGATGGTGGCTGGTGTATGGGGGGCAGTGGTAGTGGAAGGCTCTCTTGGGGGGGGGGGGCAGGGGTGTTGTTGGTCAATGTCAGGCTATCTCTGTGAGAGGGGGGGTGCAATTTTTTGTGTTGCCTAGGGCAGCACAAAACCTAAATACACCACTGGGTGTAGCACATCTGCGACTCTTCAGGGTTAGCTGCGCTTTGCTATAGACTTCTATTATATCCTGCAAGTGTGGTGCACTTTTTGAAAGCACAACAAACCTGGAGGATATAATAGAAGTCCATGGCTAAGCACAGCAAACGTTCATGAAAGCTGCAGGCAAACTGCACTGCACCCATGGTATGGGTAAACCGCAGTCCACCAGCGTGAAAGCAGTCCTATAATATTTTGCCCCGTGTATTGCTTCACATTGACCTGAAGATCTCTACTTTCCTGCTGCTGGCACCACTCTGGAGACCACTAATCTGGATAAGTGGTGGAGTGCAATTGGTATCACTCTGCATGAGACAGAAGCCAGTACTAACAGAGGAGGCATTGGTTTATGCAGCTCTTGCTCCCTACTACAGCCCCAACGTTCCCTGCAATAGTCCCTGCATTTCACTCTGTTTTGATCCTCTGGGATGTTGGGTCAGCAAGCCCAGACCAGCTCTATCAGTCAAATGGCCGCAAACGTTTGTTCTGACCCCCGATGTAAGGTACAGCACAATGTAAAGTGAAAGCAGTCTGAGTATTTTGAATACACACCCTGCACTTTACTCCAATCACTCAGCACACTTCACCAGGCACCTGCATACCCTCAGCACACTCATCACATCTCATACCCACCTGAGAACTATGAGTCCTCATGTACTCTGGTACCTTCACTGACCTCTAAGTTACCACTGTCACCTGTAGTGACTTGGAGGCCAGGATGAGTAACAACAGTGCCCATTATGGGACACAACCAACACATCGTGTCTATGGATTACTCATGTGCCTTGGATGAAGGATAATACAGAGGCACCACATCCTAAAAATGCTTGATAAGTGAGGACAACAGAATTTCTGGATTTTCTCAGTACCCTGGAAAGACAAAGAAAAGCTTAAAAAAACTATCAAAATTTATTACATTAAAACATAATGTCAAAACATATATATGGTAAAAGTCAAAGATGGATCGGCTACAATGGAGCCTTGGACATCGATCCATGTTCGATTGTTATATCGTTTTCAATATTATGTTTTAAAAGCTTTATGTAATAGATTTTCATGCTTTTTTTAAGCAATGTTGTTTTGTCTTTCCAGGGTACCGAGAAAATTCATGAATGTTATTGTCCTCACTATTCTTGTGTTGGTTAGCAGCTGTGGCTGAAATGACTGAAGACTGCCACCGTCCAGATAGATATACAATATATTGCCTTTACATTCACATGAACTTTAATGGCATCCCAGTCTTAGTCCGTAGGGTTCAATATTGAGTTGACCCACCCTTTGCGGATATAACAGCTTCAATCTTCTGTGATGGCTGACCACAAGGTTTAGGAGTGTGTCTATGGGAATGTTTGACCATTCTTCCAGAAGCGCATTTTTGAGGTCAGGCACTGATGTTGGATGAGAAGGCCTGGCTTGCAGTCTCTGCTCTAATTCATCCCAAAGGTGTTCTATTGGGTTGAGCTCAGGACTCTGTGCAGGCCAGTCAAGTTCCTCCACACCAGACTCGCTTATCCATGTCTTTATGAACCATGCTTTATGCACTGGTGCTCA